GGGTGACCCCTGACCCCCGTGTGACCTCTGCCCCGCAGGTGACCCCTGTCCTGGGCGTGGCCGCGCTGCTGCTGCTCCTGGCCGTGGTCAGGGACCCGCCCCGGGGCGGCCTGGACGGGGCCGGAGCCGCGGCCGCTGACCGCAGCTGGGCCCGGGAGATCAGGGAGCTGGGACACAAGTGAGTGACCACTGAGTGACCAATGAGTGACCACTGACCACTGAGAGTGACCACTGAGTGACCACTGACCTGTGAGTGACCACTGACCACTGACCGCAGCTGGGGCAGAGAGATCAGGGAGCTCGGACACAAGTGAGTGACCACTGAGTGACCAATGAGTGACCACTGACCACTGACCTGTGAGAGTGACCACTGAGTGACCACTGACCTGTGAGTGACCACTGACCACTGACCGCAGCTGGGCCAGAGAGATCAGGGAGCTGGGACACAAGTGAGTGACCAATGAGTGACCAGTGACCAGTGAGAGTGACCACTGAGTGACCACTGAGTGACCACTGAGTGAGCACTGAGTGACCACTGAGTGACCACTGAGTGAGCACTGACCACTGAGAGTGACCCTGAGTGACCAATGAGTGACCCCTGCCCCATCCTGGACCATTTTTTGGCCATTTTTCGCTATTTCGGCCGATTCCGACGGGGTTTTTTTGGGATTCTGGGAATTTTCCCCGGGAATTCTGACCTCTGACCCCGCAGCCGGACCCTGGTACTGTCCATGCTCAGTGTCACCTCAATGTCCCTTTTTATTGGTCATTTTTGGGTGGATTTTGGCCATTTTTGGGTCGATTTTCACCGGTTTTGGGGTAGAATTTCGCTATTTTGGGTTATTTCGGTGCCGTTTTTTCGGGATTTTGGGAATTTTCCCCGGGAATTCTGACCTCTGACCCCGCAGCCGGACTCTGGTACTGTCCAAGCTCGGTGTCACCTTAGTGTCCCATTTTCTTGGCCATTTTTGGGTCGATTTGGGCCATTTTTGGGGTAGAATTTGGCTATTTTGGGTTATTTCGGTGCCGTTTTTTTCGGGATTCCGGGAATTTTCCCCGGGAATTCTGACCTCTGACCCCGCAGCCAGACCCTGGTGTCCTTCATCCTCAGTGTCCCTTTTTTTGGTCATTTTTCGGTCGATTTTCACCGTTTTTGGGGTAGAATTTGGCTATTTTGGGTTATTTCGGTGCCGTTTTTTCGGGATTCCGGGAATTTTCTCCGGGAATTCTGACCTCTGACCCCGCAGCCGGACCCTGGTACTGTCCATGCTCGGTGTCACCTTAGTGTCCCATTTTCTTGGCCATTTTTGGGTTGATTTGGGCCATTTTTGGGTAGAATTTGGTTATTTCGGTGCCGTTTTTTCGGGATTCCGGGAATTTTCCCTAGGAATTCTGACCTTTGACCCCGCAGCCAGACGCTGCTGCTGTCCAAGCTCAGTGTCACCTCAGTGTCCCATTTTTTTGGCCATTTGTGGGTCGATTTTGGCCATTTTTGGGTGGAATTTCGCTATTTCGGCCGATTTGAACGGGGTTTTTTTGGGATTTTGGGAATTTTCCCTGGGAATCCTGACCTCTGACCCCGCAGCCGGACGCTGGTGCTGTCCACGCTGGGTTTCACGGCCGTGGCCTTCGTGACGGGCGCGCTGGCGCTCTGGGCGCCGGCGTTCCTGTTCCGCGTGCGGCTGGCGCGGGGCGAGGCGGCGCCCTGCCGGGGGGCACGGCGCTGCCGCGGCGACCAGAGGTGGGAGCCCAAATTTGGGGATTTTTGGGGCATTTTGGGGGGTTTGGGACATTTTGGGGGGATTTTGGGGGATTTTGGGGGGATTTTGGGACATTTTGGGGACGTTGGGGGAGGCACTGCCCTGCCGGGGGGCACGGGGCTGCCGCGGCGACCAGAGGTGGGGCCAAAAATCCACATTTTGGGGTATTTTTGGGGGGATTTTGGGGCAATTTTTGGGACATTTTGGGGACATTTTGGGGACGTTGGGGGAGGCACAGCCCTGCCGGGGGGCACGGCGCTGCCGCGGCGACCAGAGGTGGGGCCAAAATCCACTTTTTGGGGCATTTTGGGGGGATTTTGGGACGTTTTGGGCACATTTTGGGACATTTTGGGG